AAGCAGAATGCAGCATGTGAACAGCTCATTCTTATGATGACATCTCAGACAAGGTGTATGAGTCTCACACCCGCAGGTGTAAAAGAGTACAACATTCATATTCTCATTTCTGAAAACACAGATATCTTTTGCCTGCATTACAAAGTCAGACAACAGATATCAGAGAATAGACTGATACAGATCTATCATTCTGAAGGAATTTATCAGAGTGAATGTCTCTGTGATGTTGAACTTTACAGTTGTAAAAAGTTTCTTGATGTCTGTGAACATCATGACTTCATGCACAGTAAAACCCATAACAATTTTCCCTAAGAACAGGAAAATCAGCATCAGATCAAAAAGATGAAAAGAAAAAGACTTACAATTTCAACACTGTTGAGAAGAGGGGTGATTCTCTGATATGAATGAACAATTATCTCATCATGAATATTTAAAACAAACATAATAATCAGCATTCATGACTGAGCTTCAAATAGTCATGTTATATGCAGTCTTCATACAATAAATCATTCTGAGAGTTGACAAGAAGGGCGGGAGCATACATACTGAGAGATGTGATTCATTAAGCCTATGCAATATCTCCTTGAAACAGGGAGAGCTGATAACAAAAGCAGAGGCAGCAAAACCAGAAGTAGCAGGAGTGAGAATTGCGAGAACAGGGGTAGCAGGAGCAGGAGAACCAGACACAGAGGCAGGTGTAGAAGATTGAGAAGAAGTGGTGAAGAAAGGAACAGAGAGGGCAGAGAGAGATGTGAAAGACTCAGTCATACATGGCATGGGCAATTCCTTCATTATCACATTCTCCAAGTTCTCAATCAATGATTCAACATTGAGTTCACTATCATCAGCAGACACAGATCTGTCAACACATGAAGATTCTACACAAATAAAAATAAACATATCAGCATCTGCATCCATGCAAATTGTGCCAGAAAACATGATCAGAAACCTGCTGAGAGAGAAACAGTCAAGAGTGTACAAGGAGGTGAAGAGAGTGTACAAGGAGATGAAGAAGATGTGCCATTCATAGTAGTACATTCTGGCAATCATTAGAAGATAAACAAGTTCTGATCACATTTCACAACACATTACACTTACTGCTAACAAACTGCTCAGTATGAGCACTATGATGACACTTGTTGTGAGAACAGAGGGCCATTGCCAGAAACATGTACAATGTGATAGATGAACAGATAGAAAGAGTTAAACAGAAGAAGGAGTAGAAATCTTGAATGATGGTGGTGTTTGATGATGATGAAAGAGAGAAGATGATTGAAGAATGAGAAAAGTTAGTGAATGAGTGATGTAATATAGTGAAAGTTTCTTTGTGAGAGTGTACACAGAATGCTAGCTGAATCAGAGATAGGTCACACAATCATAAAACACTAGTGATGAGCTAATCTGCATGAAGCTAGAATATACAACATAGTCACATGAGTGTGACTGAATCTGATGAGAGAGGATGTGGTTCAGAAGAACATATGATCATTGAATAATACCGCAGCCGCTTCCGAACTACTAGCGTATGCATATGAGTGTAAAGGGGCCATAGCATACGCTAATTAATTTAGTGTATGAGATTACAATATAAGAAGCCGGCGTACGCCTGTAATCGTACGCTGACTTAAGCAACCTTTGAATCACAATGTTAATAGTCTCAGTCTGAGCTTCTCTTGACTTTCATCAGTGTAGTTGATTGATCTGTCAGAATACTTAGAACAGAATCATTCTCATTAATAAGATCTTCAGACTCTTCATTCATGACAAGCTGTGTCTTATTATCTAGAAGATAGATTGAATTAATTGCACTCTCTAAGTTCTCATTGACAATTATCTTTAAAATATCTGGCTTTTCCTTTGCTAGGTGTTATAGTAAGCAGTGCTGTCATTCTTCTCTGACATTCAGAATGTTCAATTTATTAGACAATTCATTGAATTCTCTCACTGTATTTACAGGTGTATTTGCATTCATGTCAAGAGCTTCATCAAATATGACATCTTATACAATCTCAAGACAACATGCAACAGAATCTCATACATGATATTGATGTAATTCTTAATATTCAATCAGCTGTCATTCTCTGCTGTCAGTTCTATCTGTGAGCTTATTCAACACTTTCAAATTCTTCTTGTAGACCTTGCACTCTCATCTCTGTATTCAATGAACAGAAGGTTGCACCTCAGTCCATACTTCAAAAGATGTAAGTGATGTTTCTTCCTTGCATTCAAATATCTTTGTTAATGTTGAGAATGTGTTGATCATCATGATTACAGCTTGTATTACTTCATCTCAAAGTTCTCTTTCTAATTCACTATTAAATAGTAGGCTTTGTATCTTTTCTGCAACTATTTGATTTGCATGTTCTGCTGAGTCATTCAATTGTGATGTGTCAGATGTAGTCATTTCATATGCTATTTCTTTGCTCTGACAGTAGACCTTAAGTTCTTGACTTTTGAACTCTTCTTCATCATCTCAGTGTAGAGTTTCAACTTGACATTGTGTAGTTGTCTCAATACCTGTGATGAAGTTCATTAATCTTACAGTAGATTCTCTCTTTCTCATCATAAGAATTGCTCATCTATAACAGGTTGTATCATCTGTTATACTTAATCAGTAGCTTACACCTCTTCTAGTGAGAGTGTTATTTCTGTTGAAAAGTGTTTTTCCACTCTCTGTCAGATCAATGAAGAATCTCATTATCAGCTTAACAGCTTGTGTCATAGATGCAAAGATTGAACATGTCATTTTTACCTGTACACAGATCTTGCAGAATGACAAAGCTCTGTCACTCTTTATTCTCATTTCTAGTTGTGAATCTGCTGCTATTTTTGTGATATTCATGAGATTCAGATGTTCTAGCTTTTAATGTCATTGCATCATTGTAAGTTTTATAATCTTTGTATCATTTCTTTCAGATAGTGCTAATATTGTGTCATTACTCTTTATCTGCAGTGTATTCACAGGTTCAAAATCATCATTGAGTATAGCAAATCAGATCAAGTCTCTGTATATAACTGACCTTTTCATCTCATAGATATCATTCTCATTTAATCTTGCTGTAAATGAGAATATGTGATTGAGAGACATAATCAACATAGCATGATTATTCTCATATATCAACTGCTTATAGGTATAACTCTGATGTATAAGCTTATTCATACTCATGAGATTCACTTCTAACTTCAGAACATAGCAGACATCATTTAATAGCATATTCATCTCTTTCACTGAAATCTTCATATCTTCTATAGCTGCAGCAGGAACCACTGTTCTGTCTATTATTTTCAACATTACTTTCATCTTCTGAGGTTTTGCCATGACAAGATCTCTGTGAGGTGTGATATAAGCACTTAATTCAGAGTCTAAAATCCAGGTATCTTTTTCTGTCTGATCACTTGCATAGACCTTTTCTTTGATGCAAAATACTTGCTTCATAACATTGTGAATAGAAGCAGTACCTGTATTCTCTGCATTCTTGTCTTTATTCTTATTTCTATTTGTATTGAAGTTTGAAGAATGTTTCTCAGAGTATTTCTTTCAACAGTCAGTCTGAATATGATCAATCTTTTGATAATGATAGCAGGTTCTCACATCATTATCTCTATGTTCAGATTTGAATTCAGTGTTCTTATTCTTGTCATTGTCTTTCTCTTTGTTCTTGTCTTTCTTATTCTTATCTTGCATGTTGTTGATAGAATTTCTAGATATATCAGTATTTGCTTTATTTGCAGCAGAGAGCTGCAAAAGAATATCATAGCACAGGTCTATAAAATCATTCTCTAAGAGTTGAGTATTATCTTTGTCAATTTGATTTATTCAATTTCTTATAAATGAGACTCAATCTCTGTTAACTTCTGTAAGCAGTCTGTTGAAAAACATGACATTCAGAATCTCATATTCTAGACAGATATAATCAGTTCTTATGACAATCAGATGTTCAATGAAAGCTCTGTCAGATTCTTTGCTTTTGAAGATTATTTTAATAAGCTCTTTAAATAAATGAGTTCTGTATACAGCAGACCTCTCAGAAAAGTTATTCTCTATAATAGTTTATAGAGCATAAGCTGATAATTTAAACTTCTTAAGTATAGTGAAATGAGTCTTAGTCTGTGAAGCAATTGCAGATCACATATAATTATATAATCAAAGATTGTGTTCTTTTCAGAAATGTTGCATATTCATAGTAACATTCTCATCAAAGCTATTATCTTTAAGAATATCATCAGTTTCAGACTGCTCTGCAGTCAAAAGAATTTTCTCTCTTCATATTGAGTAGTTAATGAATTCAGTGAGAATAATCAGTCTTTTAATAAGTCTTACTTAACTTCTGAATTCTTCAAGAACTTTTATTATAACAGATATCTTCTCTTTTCATTGAAGATATTCTATCAGATCTGCTCTCATCTCATCATCTGCAGAGTCATCTCTACTAGTCTTCATCTGCTCAATCTCATGCTAAAGTCTTGCAATTTCTAGTCTTATATGAGTCTTCTTACTTACTGAGCTATTATTGTTTCAGTCACTTGAGCTCTCTGCATTATCTGACATCTCACTGATAATGTCTTCAACTGAGTCTTTGTATACATTGAACTTATCAGACTGTTCTTCTGTGATGATTTCATTCAGCTCAAATGTCTCAGAAGCTGTCTTCTGATTTGTTATTGATATTGACAGTGATCTGTGATCTTGTGTTTGCTGCTCTGGCATTTTCTCATTTTTCTGTCTTGAAGGCATGTATTCTTTTGTTAAGTCAGACATCCCCCCAGATCTTAGATTAATCATGAGTTCAATCACTCAATAAATCATCTAGGCACGCTTGTAATGACGCGTGGAGATGTCAATTGCATGTTATTTTGCAGCTTTTCATTGTGTAGAGGGCTTCATAACCTCTTGGAGGATAACATTGTTGTGTTGTAATCTAACTACGCGAGTTACACTAAATGAATAGGTTGGGGTGGCACGTGACTAGGGTAGGTGTAGTAATCACCAACATAACTAGTTAACTACATGCTGCTGACCTCAGATATGACTAAGCATGTCCCAGACGCCTCTCGACATCAAAAAAATACGAAAAAAGCTCCGAGGCCGCATCTCGCCTATCCCCATCCCAACTTTTGGGTCTTTCCGTGTTTCTTGTATTTCCCATAGCTTCTATTATACATAGTCTTCTCTTCCATACAATTCCTTAACCAACATTTCTACGGTCCATAGACAAAAAACAGAGCTGGCAAAGGAAGGCAAAAAGTTGCTTGTGTTTCATCTTTCTTTTGTCCCTTTGCTTTATTTAGTTGATCCATTAGCTACCCTGCCCGCCGCGCCAGTTATCGACCACTATATACTCCCTCCCCCTAGCCTATCGATCCGCGCCGTCCTCTCTTCCCCCCCCATATAAGGACGAAACAAGATCGGCATTTCGCGTCAAACCATCTCATCAGTCGTTTGCCACTGCAAATTCCTGCAATGGTCTCGCGAAAACGTGCCAGGGAGGAGGCGGAGGAGCAGCAAAGTACCCGCGTTGACGCTAAAAGGAGCGAGCGGCTGCCGTCTTCGTCGTTGCAAGATGGGCAGGAACCTGGCCTGCTTCACCAACTGCGCAACATGTGGGAGTTCTCGAATCTCATGCAGTATATTTACACCTTTGGGAGGGTGGTGAAGATTACGGATGACATTGATATAGATGTGCGTGACTACATTCTCTCTACTTCGTTTTCAACTATCGATAATTACGGTCCTTTTAGATTCCTTATTTCTACCTCGCGCTCTATAATCCCTAGGTTGTTATTGGCAAGGAGGACACTTTTGCTGACATGTTTTATCTTCTTATATCGCTTTAGGGACTGGAAAACGAGTGTCTCAAGCCTGGGCCTTCAGCGAAACTTCTCGATATCGGCCTAGCTCTGCTGAAATTTGTCTCGTCCCATCGCGGACTCACGTATGGAATTCTCGCCCCTCCCCTCTCCGCTTCGCACAGACCGAAACTAACTAACTTTTCTTTGCTATTCCCGGGACTACAGATTGGAAAACTTCGAAGAGTATACGAGGAGGCAGTACCTAGCGAAAGCACCCTCCCGGAACCCGTTCGGTGACGCGGAACAGCCGATAAAGTTTAATGATCTAGATATTTTCCAGCGGATACGTATCTTGCAGCAATTATCGGTATGGACCTTTTGGAATCCAGATCGCATGCGCGAACGGATGCCGGAGCAGAAGGAAATGGAGCAGGTTCAATGGGTATGTACAAAGATCCTGGTTCCCCCACTCCCTCGCCCGTGAAACAGGCTGCAGGTTCTGAGTGAAGACTGATTGGGTTTTGAAAATAACAGCGCGTGGATGAAATTGGATATGATCGCGACGAGCGACTTTACTACGTGCTGGACGACAATAGACTATATCGTCGAACCGACCCTCCTATTCCCGCAGCGCGAGCCGCGAAACCAAAGGCCAACAGCAAAAGAGGGAGGGCACTAGCACGTGCTGCAAGGAAACGAAAGCTTTCAGGGCTGCAGGATGAGGAAGACGAAGAATCCAAAAATGAAACAAGTGGTGTCGCCAGGCAGGATTCCTCGTCGGGTGGCTATAAATGGGAATGCGTTGCGATCACTCTTGCTCAGTATAACGCCTTCCTGGATACGATTAGAAAGTCGAAAGATCCCAATGAAGAATTCCTTCGTGAACAGCTTATGGAGAATGTCATCCCCGTCATTGAGAAAGTGGAGGAAGCTCACCGGAGGAAAATTGAGCGAAGAGAGAAGGAACTCCTTAACATGCAGCTTATGGCCAATGCTAAGCGCTCTAGCCGAATTGCAGGCAAGCAAGAAAGGGAGCGTCAGGAAATGGAGGCAGCCGAGGCAGCACGCAAACGAGAAGCTGAGCGGATCGCGGAGCTTAAGGAGATAGAGAAACAGAAGAAGATTGAGAAGGAGCGTTTGTATCGAATGATGACGCGTGAACAGCGTCTTAAGGACCGCGAGGAGAAACGGAGACAGCACGAGGAGGAGCTGGCTAAGATAGGCGAGGAAGCGCAGAAGATTGAGAGTGGCGAGTCGAGGATGTCTGAGAGGCAATTGAAAGCTGAGATGGAAAAGCGCAAGAAGGACCTCGAGGCTTTGCAAAATGAGGAGCAGTGGATTTTTGATTGTTCAGGCTGTGGCGTGCATGGGGAGAATCTTGTTAGTTATTCTACTCTGCTGCTTTCATGATGTTTGTCGTTTCTAACATGTGATATACAGGATGATGGCTCCCATATTGTCGCTTGCGAGAAATGCAATGTTTGGCAACATATCAAATGCCTGGGAATCGCGCAGGATGAAGCTGAAAAAGACGATTTCCATTTCGTATGCCGTGACTGCAAGCGACGCATCGCGGAGGCGAATCTCCCTAAAATCCCACCGCTAAAGTTTCGCGTTGGTGTATCGTCCTCTCCGCCGTCTAGTAGTAAGCCAAAGGCCAATGGCGAGAAACGTAAGAGACAGGATACCTCTACCTCACCTTCAGCCAAGAAAACCAAACGCCCATCTACCTCTCCTGGACAGCTGCCTGCGACTCTGCCTCGGACTCGGATGGATCCCTTAACGAACGGCTATCCTTCCTCTCTCAACCAGGGACCGCTTCTACCACCCCCTCAAGCCAACACTCTACAGCCCGGCCAGCAAGCGTTACCGCCATCCCCACAACGTCCACCTCCGCAATCCATACAGAATGGTTTCTACCGTCTACCGCCTGTTCCTCAGCCGGTTTCAAATCATCTACCTCAATCAAACTCAACATTGGCTCCATCCCCTTTCCCTCCATCTAATATACCGTCAAGTGGCCTACCGCGACACCAACAAGCTCCTGGCCCTGCTCCGCAATTTCTTCATTACCAACCCCCTGGGCAGCATACCGTCTCAAAAACAAGCCCCTTCTCCTCTCAGCATCCCTCATCAACTTCGACCCAGGGAGGCACCGGTCGCTTCATCTCCCCCATCCAGAACCCCCCCACCATATCCCCAACCCAAGGAAACAGAGACGTTGGCCCTCTAGCCGGCTTCCCACCTTCCTCCACGATTCCAAACATCGGCCCTCCACTCCCCGTCGCCGCCTCGCCACATGTGAATAATAACGATTTTCAATCCCACACGCACACTACCTCCACCTCTCCCTACTCCACAACACAACCTGCATCTCGCCCCTCCCACTCCACAGCCACAACCACAAACGCCATCGTCACGCCATCCCGAGACACCTTCACCCATACCTCTCCCCCTCCCCAACACCAATATCACTCCCAAACCGCCCCTCCCACTTCAGGCTTAAGTCCCACAAAACAGCCCCCAGCACATCCGCAACCACCGCTCCCAACCACGACCACGACCACCTCCTCCCCCTTCTCCTCCTTCCGTACCTCCATAAGTACCACCGCTGCCACACCTACACAACCGCCCATCCTACCACCCGTTCAAAGACTCGAACCCAGTCCCAAGCTGATGGGCAGAGCATCGCCCGACGCCCCCATCCGTGCCCCTGTCAAGAGCATGACGCCTGAACAGGAGGATCGGAGGCGGAGGGAGGATGAACTGGCGGCAGCGGCGGTAAGGAACAGTCAGAGTGCTGGGAGTAGTCTGGGGCAGGCCCTGGCTCAGAGAGAGGGAGAGAACCACGTGCCTTCTTCTGAGGTAAAGAGTGAGGCTACAGGCCCTGGGATCCACCCGCAGGGTAGCTTTCTTGGTCCGCAATCTTAGCCCCAACGGGAAAGGTAGGAGGAGCAGCAAGGAGCTGGTTCTGCGGCGATGCAGGCGCAGTCGACGGAAACGGCGGGGGATAATCAGTGAGGTGGGTGGACGGCTGCGTCTGGTAGATATGGATATAAATATATTGATTGATACTGCACTGCACAGAATTCTAGGATAAGATTGGATAGAGGGAATACCGTCTTCTCCCTGTTTTTGTGCGCGAAACACTTTCCCGTTGTTTCCTGCATTTCTGTTGCATCATGTTGTTTCTTTTCCTCTCCCTCCTCCTCTTCCTTGCTATTTACTTTGTCTTGAAGATGGCGCCATCAGTGTGAATTTGAGGCGCTTTTAGTAGAAAAAGGACCCTCCGAGGGGAAATAATTAGTTGATCTTGACTCTTGACCTGAGGGGAATGCGGATTTCTATTTTATTTTGGATTTCTTTTATCTTGCTTTTTCATTTGGTGTCGCATGTCGCGATGGAAGAAACCTTATTTTATTTTATATTTTGGACTAAAAGTTCAATGTAAATCAACCTTTTCCCCACCCTTTTACATTTTCATTCACATGCTGCAGGGCAGAAAAGTGAAAAGTGAAAGCAGCATGCTAGATATGAATACATCCCGATACAGAGAATCTGCCCATCTCTCTTTCGCCGGCTATCTACCCATCGTTCACCCCCCTTTTTGTTGCCGTGAGCGGGGGAGAAACATCGCTCTCAGGGCCATTTATTCACTCACTTCGTGTCTTGATATGATCATCTCATGCAATCGTCTCGTCTCCCTTCCTGCGATTTTTTCCTCCCCATATTCTCTCACTGTTTCCGGGTCCCATTTTTTTTTTTTTTTTTTTTTTAATTTTGGTTTGTTTGGAAATAATATATATCTACTCTCGACATTTCTGGAATGGTTCGGGCCCCTTAATTACCAGCAAAAAAAGGCTAGGAGTGATTGAGCTCTTTTGCCCCAGTGTCCTACATATGAAATGTATACATTACACCTCATGTAACGTACAATCAGTCCATTTTTCTAGTAATGTTTATAAAGTGGGATGCAACGAAAAGGAGAGATATTAACTGAAGGGGCGCTTTCATTCTTCGGTCCGTGATATTATTTTCATAGTTGTAATTGGATTGGTAGGAGGTGTGGGATGGGTGGAGGAGTGAGGATGTATTTTGGCTTACTATATAGGCCTGAGTTTCATTTTGTGTGTATATATCGCTTTATGATTTACGATCTTGTCTAGAGATGGATGGTAAGACTGTTTCCGCATGATATTAACTGTTTGTTTTACCACTCTGTCTAATCTATTAGTTAACTATAAGTTTGCAAAAGGGCGATCCTTTTGAGATATCTATTGACTGCCAAAGGGGGAGTCGTTCTCTTTGCACGCTTCGTAGGTGGCGGCTGGGTATCTCACTCACTCACTGGGTTTATTTTTTGATACTCTTTGATTCCTTTTTCTTCATATTCATTTTAGCCTCACTCCCTCATCTGTATTTGTCAATATATGATTACTTAGTTTTAGCGGACTTCGCAAGCTAGTTTGTTCATTCTCATTTACTATTCCCACTCAGCTTTCACAAGCAATATAGGACTAGACTCTAGACTAGGTATGTATCGCCTCTTCCGTATTTGTTTGCTACTGAGAAACAGGCGGTGAAAAATGTAATGAAGGCAAGGTGGTATAGGCGACAAGAAGGGCCAGGAGCACACATGCCAATGCATGCACATGAAGTTCGAGAGACGAGGCACGAGGAGGAGGTAGGTCTACGCGGAATACATTTTGGGACTATCTTCTCGCTTCATTTTCAGGGATAATATACATCGGCGACGGCATTCGCCGCTTAATGTGAGGCGAGGGGCTTTTCTTCGGCGTGTCCTCTGCGCTCCATTCTCAATTAATTCCCTCTCACCTCCCCCCATCCAACCCCTTCTCCCTGCGTCTCGGTCTCCCCGAGCAAAGCTGATGTCCTCTGCTGTCCCTGTCCAAAATGGAAAAGCCCTCAAAAGCAAGATAAAGAGTGGTATGAACTATATATAAAAATCTTGGTTCATGTGAAAAAAAGGAAAACAAGCGCCAACTCCAAAAAGGAAGACGATGCGGACGGTTGGAAACACAGGCACACCATGCAGGTAACACAAGACTCGCTCGGCAAGCAACCGAGGGTTGGGCCTCTTCCCTGACAAATGGGATTGGGTCCGGGGATTTTATATCTGCCGACATCATGGCCGGCCATTAGGTGAAAATTCTATCGACGGCTGTACCACCAACGCGTGCAGGCCGGAAGTCCGAACGAAGCACGAAAGTGGGGAGCGCTCTGCTCTGTTGAGCTGGGCGAGCGGGGTGGCTCTCGGACAGGGAAAAGAGAAAAAAAATAATGTATAGGATAAAACTAGGGAACAGATAAATTTTGCAGCAGGATGAAGGGGAAAGATGAGGCAGAGCGCGAAGGAAAACTAATGCAGGCAACGGGAAAAAGATGCGCCTCGCAGAGCAGGGACAGGGGAACCTACCCAAATCCACAGGGAGGGAGGGGAAAGGAAAGCGTAGATATCGGGTATTTTTATTCTGGGCCTGTGTTACGTGCAGGATTTTGCATCATTCTTTTACCTTTCCCAATTGCCTCGAGAGCAATCGTGCTTCAAAATATGGTCACTTCCCGGGTATGTATTTATGGTTGCCTCGCATTTCCGTTTCTCCTTTTGAGTCACCTCAGAGCTGGGCCCCCTGTTGCGCCATCCACAAGGGGCTCCAACCCTTCTATCAGAGGTAAATGGATTAAAATATAGAAAGGCACCTCAGAGCTAGTTACGCGCGGTACCACCATAGCCAACGAGGTTGAAACACTGGCCATAGCGTGTGTGGGGCGGGGGCAAATATGTTTACCTTCTGTTGGCAGGAGATAACAGGGTGTTTGATAACTGTATAATATGTCTGGCGTCGTAAAATCGACAAGTTGGCTGTTGGTATCTCGGGCCCCAACCTTTGCGAAATAAGCCCAACAAATCCCATCGTTAGCTCGTGCTTTAACCCATACTCAAAAATATGAGAATAGGTAAATGGGGGGAGCTGAGGAGAGGGACTTTACCTATGTAGGTAAACACTGTGCCTCACTAGGCTCATTATTCCCCCGCAAATCGGTGTGCTACCGTTATAGAAAGCGCTCCCATAGCTCTTGAAAAAAATAGGCTTAGTTTCGGGCATTCCGCTCCTGAGTGGGTCTCTGTGTAGTTGTTTTTCGTGTTAGGATCTTCAAAATGGTAGTAAAAATCGATACGCAAGGTTGGGAGGGGTGGGGGGTAACAATTGGAAACCCAGAGCGCATCACTGTTTACGAGATTGAAAAGAGAAGGTCACTTTGAGCCCTGTGCTGCGGGGTTCACAAACCGTCAATGACATCAAGAGGAGGACTTCCCCTGTAAGATATAGCTCGCGTCAAGCTATTTTGGCATTATCCCTGGGGGGATAAAAAAGAAGGGGACTCGTTGGATATATCCCAACAGCTTCTCAGATCTCCCCTGGTGCGTATCATTTGTCGCCATCAAATGGTCATATGGTATCAATCGCTTTGCCTCAATCAGGTGCCCACACTGCTAGCACTCTATTAGGGTCCGGAGAGTAGTGAGATGGGTTATAATCCATCATAGCTGCGCTGTGATATGGTGTGGACCCTGTCAGCATTGTTGCTCGGGCGCCTCAGCGGGCAAGGCTCAACAAGCCCCGAGATTTAACCGCGGACTCGAAAAATAGATTCGCGACGCTGCCGCACCCAGGTCCGTGATAACCCTGTCACCCAGCTGGACACTAACCACAAGAGGAGACATTCCCTACCCGAAACGCGACTGTGAAGCCCAGGAGCACGCCAATCGGATGGGGCTTCTAGCGACTCGGAGCCAACTCGGGCAGAACTAGGATGTCGAAAAGCCCAGGGCGCGTACACACCTGGTGACTAAACGGACCCTTGAACCTAGTTGAAATGATACCCAACAGTGTTTCTCGACGCAGAGACCGTCGTCTAGTCTGTCTAGTCTGATATGATATTTGAGGAAGGGCCGTTTGGTGTTACTTCTCCCCAGCGCTCCACAGACGCTTGCCGAAGCCTCACCCTGGCTGGATATGTTGTGAACAGTGCTCGCTCACAGCTTTCTATTGTGAACGAACACCCACGCGCCCTGGCTGAGGAGGTTGGGGCACAAATCAATCATTTCTTTCATAACGTATCGCTGACTATTGAAGGTTGATATTAGGTAGCTAACGATGCTCTGCTTTCTCTTTGCAGGGGTCTGATATTCCTGGATGATATATTAGCCCTTGCTCTCCATAGTGAGTGATCTGAAATAAAATGCTACCCAGGCCATGCTTATTAGGGCATCCTTGGGCGAGTAAAGCAAGTAAACCTGGAGCAGTTCGATTTCCCAAGGGGAAGGGCGCTTCTCGTCAGCTCAATTGCCTTGGACAAACAGAAAGAGAAAGGGTACAATACAAGTAGCTGACGATATTCTCCCTTCCCTCCGAGTCTCACAATGTAACGACCATCTGGCCTAACTAGTTACTGCGTCACCACAAGTGCGCCCCTCTAAACTGGTGGTACGACATGTCCATATTATTATTATTAATAATGCTTCACCGTCGTTGAGGGAATCACTCAAACCAATCAAGTTTTCTCCATTCATCTTCCGCTCTCTCACCGCTTAGAAGGCACCTTTGGAAGGAAAGGCGTCTCTCTCCCCTCCCAGCATGAATCGCCACGTCTATCTATCTGTCCAAATGCATTGACTTGCAATCTTGCCTGCCTACTACATACATTCCAAAAAGCGTAAAGCGTTCAAGGGACGACTCTAGTCCGTCCTCGATCACTTGCATTTTGCCTAACCGTTACACAATCCAGTCGTTTGAGCATTCTCGAATGGAAAGAAAAGAAACGAAAACGAAGCCATAGCCATCGCGGGGATATTCCCGGGGGAGCGTCTTTTGGAATACCACGGAACTGATACATTAATTATTAGTAGTTGGGTTTGGGACTAGCAGCAAATCAAATAATTAGGTCCCGACTGTCTGGCGCAATTCAGGAAAAAAAAAAAAAAAAAGGGTTCGCTATTGTCGAGTCCAGGTTGCTGCTATTGTGATGTCGGGGTCGGGGACTCAGAAGGCGGGATGGAAAATCAAACGACGAGTAAATAACGCAGCTAGTTATTTCGCCCCCACCGAACCAGAAGAAACGCGTTTTTCTTTCGTCAGAAGGCAGAAGAGAAAATGCAAACTTTTTTTTTTTCTGGTCTTAGTTTCGAGTTATCATTATAATCCGATTGTTTGAATCAGCGGCACTTTATTGTGACAGAGCCTCGGGATCCCTCTCAAAAATTGAGGGGAAAATATCAAAAAAAAAAAAAAAAAAAAAAAAAAAAAAAAAAAAAAAGTAAAAACTCGGCTGTCCCAGTGATGCAGGAAGTAGTTAACTACTGGTAAAATGACAGCTTGCGTTTCGATCTGTTATTGCTTCTGTAAACAAAGTCTATCAGCAAAAAACGCTGTCTGCTAAGCTTTGTCTCTTACCAAGGATGTACTTTATTTAACTATTCTCCGTGCTCTGGCAAAAGGTGTGACATAATAAAACCAGTGGTTGCTAAGGTAAAAACTACAAGATTGTAGAATCAAATTAACTATGTACAGTATGTCGCGTCTTCCAGGGACGCGAAAATAGGAAGCAGTTTAAGTATAAGTTGTGCAAGAAGAAATAATTTTTAGTACGGAGCACATGAGGGCGTAATCACGGAGCTTCTTCTTTGCAATGCTATAGTTACTTGTTCCATATTCCTTGACCCTAGATGTGGATATATGAAAAAAAGGAAGAAGCAAACGGCTTATTATTAGCAGAACTTTTGAAGAATCAATAAGCAACGTAGATTCTCATGCCACCACCGCCGGATCTCGAAATCATTTTAGCCCATATTAAAATAAGGGGGAAAATATGCCGACGCCGACAAGGGGGACGATGCCCCTAGCAACCCCGTTGTACCCTAACTACCCCCGTGGA